AACATTTTCCATGTTTAATGCATTTTTGATTCTGCTCAAAATAAAAATTCTTTTAATGTTATTATCCCCCACCTCGAAAAAATACTGTTCTACTCTGATTTCAATGTTAATCACAGAAGTGTGGTGGGGGAAAGAACCATGGAGTTAGTCCCTGAGGCTACAAAAAAAGTTCCACAGCAATTTTCCACTAATAAATTTTGGGTTTCTTTTACATCATTATTTATTTACATATCATGATATAGTCACAAAATGTAAATTCTTTAAATTTCAATTTAGCTGTCTTATTATTTTTTGTAAATGCAGCCTACTCGAAGAAAGCAAGGGTAAGCATCTGCCTCAAGGTGTCGGATGGATGGAAAAATTTTTTGAGGTATGTAATATTTTTTTTTAAGCCAAAATGGCAAAGTGTTAACTCTCTCAACACAAATCAAGGCAACATCAAATGTTTAGCCAATAACAGTTGATTAATAGAAAACCAAGAATTTGTGGACATAACAAAAATGTCACTTCAGGGTTTAAAACAAGACCCAAATTATTCACTTAATTTTTCCCCTTTGATAGGAGGTATTATCTTCAAATGTTTTTCTTTACGAGAAGTTTAAGGGCCCGGGGAATCAAAGAAAGGAAATTCAACCCAAAACTCCAAACCCAAAGGGGTATGTTTCAAGAAAAAAAAAATAAAAAAATAAAAATGACAGATCTTTTAAATCCTGACTGAGGAATTCCAACCAGCTACTGTCATCAATCGTTTGCCCCTTTCCTTCAAACCCGGGGGGAAGCAGGTAACCCAACATTTTGGGGCACGGGCTATATAAAATTTTTTTAGAGCAAGTGCTGCAAAACATGGCAAACTGCAAGAACAAATAGTGTGTTTAATCTATGTTTTATAATTGTACTAGTAACCTTTGGTAAAATTTCGTACTCCCCCAAACCCCTTCCTTATTAATCAATGATTTACGAAAATTTTACTTTTAAAAAATTTATTCCGATCATTACGTTGCTCTTCAGTTTTTCCCTTTTTTTTTCAAAATTTGACTCTTTTTTTGGTTGAAGCAAGCACCCCATTTGTACAGTATTATTCTTGAAATATGTTTAATATGTCAGATATTACCTGGAGTTTACTGGAGAGAGTTTCGGGGTAAAACCCCCGGGGCCCGGTCTTGCCCGGGCCCTCCTGGTGGATCAGCGCCTGACAACCGGGCTTTGCTGCTGGCTGCACGCAACCAACTACGGCCACCCCCTGATCAGGAACTGTTTTAGGGTTTGTCCGTGCCACTTGAAGACGCCGGGGTCTGTTGGTAATCCCCCTTTTTGCGGGAGGCAGTTGAACAGTCTCGGGCCCCTGACACTTATTGTATGGTCTTTTAAGGCTAGTGCCCCCCGCTTTTCATTGGGGGAGGTGCATCGCTCCCAAGTCTTTTGCTTTCGTAGTGAGTGATTTTTTTTGGCAATTTGGGTATAGTCCCTCAGGATTTTCCGGGGTTTGTATATAATCATGTATCTTCCCCCCTGCGTTCCAGGGGAATACGGGTTTAAACCTAAAGCGTCCCAGTAATTGAGGTGTTTTATCCCCGTTATGCGCGCCTTTGAAAGTTCTCTGTACATTTCTAGTGGGGCAATTTCACCTGCCTTAAAAGGGTGGTAGAGTGCAGCAATATTCCAGCCTAGATAAACAAGGCCCCTGAAGAGTTCACAGGGGCTTGGCCCCCCATTTTTTGAAGGTTCTCTTTATCCATCCTGTCATTTTTCTAGCAATGCATTGATAAAATGTTATGGCCTTAAAGGTGAGATCCCCCGACAAAATCACTCCTGGGTCTTTGCGTTGGTGTTTCGCTTTTTTTTTGTGGCCAATTGTTTGTACTCTGATGAAGTTTTAAATTTCTCATGTTTACCATATCTGAGATTGAAATTCATCGTTGAACTTCATATTGTTTTCGCAGCCCACGAAAATTTGGTTGTTTCCCTGGATCCTTGAGGGGGTCTGCGGCAATTGCCCGAAACTCTCCGGTACACAGTGTATCATGCATCTTCTAGATAAAATACAGGAGGTAATGAGAACCTCAAACTAGGATGCCACGTGCCTGATGACATCCTTTCAGGTCGCTTGTTCTCTAGTAAGTAAGTAAGTAAGTTTATTAGGTAACACAAATACAGTTACCAAGAATATGTGACATAGCAGCATATGTGTAGAGAACCTGGATACCCAAAATCGACAGAGTGACTTATTTCCATTTGGGGTCCTTACTATTTCCTTGGGGTCCTTTCAGTGCAGGTGAAACTGCTGACTAGAAAATAGAGAAATCTTCACGGCGCGCATAACTGCTATAATACTACCTAAATTACTGGGAACACTTGAGTTGCTAATCTATTACCCTAGACACAGCGGGGAGATCAAAAACGGCTTTCGAAAATCCTGAGGGATTAGTACCAAACTTGCACGAATATCCTCCTAGAATGCATAAGACCTCAGCAGACGATGCAACATCCCGTAATTGAAAGACAGGGGCGCCACTAGCACGATAAGAGACAACACAATAAGTGTCCGGGGCCAGATGTTCAACTGCTCCCAGCATAAAGGGGATTATCAATAGACTCCTGGCTGTCCCTTCAAGTTAAGGATTGGATGAGCTCTATGGTCAGTATCTTACCGCGGTATGGCTTCATATGTCCCGGGTTGCGTGCGGCAACAGCACAGCTGTTGATCTGAGCCTGATCACCATGAGGCTGGTCACAGACCCGGCTGTGGGCGTGACCCCAATACCCTCTCCAGTATACCATTAATGTTGAAACTATGATCTTCAGGATTTTTATTTATTTCTTGTCTGGGAGCAAGTGTTTCATTATGCACTTTTATCACACACTATTGAACAGATTATCATGGATATTCTGGTCATTTGTGCATAGTATATGATTATTGTATAACCCCATCATTATCTAAATAATATCTGAGTGTACTACCCATTTTAAGTCTGAATTAATTGAAGAACAACAGACTTCATCTACGTATATATTTTATTAAACCCTGTTTGTTACATTGCAGTATGTTGCTAATTAATAAAATTCTTTCCATACTGAGTCATTAATTGGGTACTGTGAAAATAAAACATTTTCCTGCTTAATCTTTAGAGTCTCTCTAAAATAATAATTTCTTAATGTTATTACCCACCTCGAAAAATACTGTCTACTCTGAATTTCAATGTTAATCACAGAATGTGTGGATGGAGGAAAGAAATACTTTGGGTTAGTCACTCGATGTGTAGTGATATGGTACCTGTGGGAGCAGCAGCGGATTCACTGCACCACCTACAGGGTGCCTTATAGCAACAACGTTTGGTATGTGTGCATGGGCACCCGACATGGTCGTGTGATTCTCTTCCTCTTTATCAATTTATCCAGTCGATGCAGATTACATGGTGAGCTTATATGTGGCCTATTATAACTATTCTCTTTTGACATATGCAAGACATACACCATCCTGTAGAAGCCATTATTAGATGTCTAGTCATTATATTTTGTTGTGTTGCAGAAGTACTGAATATTCTAGTTCATAAGCCTAGAGATATAGGCCTGTGTTTCTTATCACAACACTGAGCTTAAATGTTGCCAAATTTTTCATAATAAATGTTGGTCTGATTCCTCATTACTTATTTACATTCATGTATTGTCTCACCCAATTGAACATTCATGTTATAATTTCAATATTAGTGTCTGAGTATTTTGTTTTTGTAATATGGACATGTCCTTACTCGAAGAAATGCTAGTAAGCATCTGCCTCAAGTGGAGGATGGATGGTTAGATGTATTTCAGTCTGTAGGTACTATTATTTTGCATATGGCAAAGTGTTAACTCTTCACAGCAACATTAAGGCAATCATCAAATGTTAGCCAACTAACAGTTTTCTTAAATAGAAAACAAGATCTGTGGATTAATCAATAATGATACATCATTGTGCATGAAAAATGATCCAATATTCACTCTAAGTTTACCATTGATAGTGATATATCTTCAAGCCTTACTGTACAGATGTTAAGGCACGGAATCAGAGAAAGGATATTCTAGCCAAACTCCAAACCAAGGTTGTTCAAGACAAAATTAAATAATTAAAATGACTGTCTCTTAATCTGACTGGAGGAATTCCAACCAGCTACTGTCTCAATCGTTGCCCCATTCTTCAAAATTCCCGTGGGAGCAGGTAACTCAGACATTTTCGGGCACTGGCTATATAATTTGTTAAGATCATATGTGCTGCAAAAAGGCGTAACTGAAGAAACAAATGATGTGTATTAATCTAACCACCCCTTTAATTGTACGTCTGTAATCTTTGGTACATATTCGCTGGATCCAACCTTCCTTAATCAATGATTTCACTATAAATTTCTCATTTGAAATTTGTATTCCGATCATTCGTTTGCTCTTCAGTATCCTTTTTTCGAAATTGAATATATTTTGTTTGTAGCTGCTAGACCCATTTGTACAGTATTATTCTTGAAATATGTTGTAAGTATAGTCAGATATGACTAATAGTGATCAACAACAGGAATACAGTATATCAAATACATAAGTTTTGGTATGAATGTTTGTTAGTCATGCTTTCATAATTCATTGGTCACTTAATAAACAGCACAGTACAGTATGCAGAAATAACTGGGATGCATACTCGGAGAAACTTCTGGGGGTCAACGCCCCCGAGGCCCGGTCTGTGACCAGGCCTCATGGTGGATCAGGGCCTGATCAACCGGCTGTTACTGCTGGCCGCCCGTAATCCAACGTACGAGCCACAACCCGGCTGGTCAGGTACCGAAGAATCATTGATTAAATGCAAGTCACCAGGGTCATACAGCACTGCACTATATAAGGTAGAGTTTCTGTTATGCTTTTAGAGCAGGTATCCCGTGTGCTTCTCAGTCTTAAAATGGAAGAGGGTGGTCGCTGCGTGTTTTGTATGGGTCACTGTTAAGTACCGATGCACCGTCAAAACACAACCACCTCGCATTATTTACAGTTGTTTTTGCATCTTGGCTTCTTTGTAAGACTCTCCTTGAATGTCTGCAGCTGCAGTCCCCATTTTGATTTTTCTTACGTCCTACTAAATCATCTTGTCCATGATGTACAGAAAAAAAAATATGACAATTCCTCGAACATTGGAGACGAAGCCTAAGATTCTGAACTGTGGTGATGCTGGTGAGAGGCCATCTGCACTTAGGCATGTATTCATTGTGGGTGGAAGACCAGAATAAGGGGAAAATAAATCCTTATAATGCCCTAATCAAGGATAAGACCCTGAAAAATTTATGATCGCCTAATACAAAGTAAATGTCATCACCCAAAGCCCTTTATGACAAATTCCTTTGGAGTCAAAATTTACACAGGTGCCTGGAGAATCTGAAAGTGGCTGATTACAGTTTGGTAAACATTAATCAAAAAATGTGGAATTGGATAGATTTTAAATGAATAGCTCACGAAATCATAACACGAATGCAAACAAACAATGGCCTGTGAATTCTAGGTCTCGCTTGCCATGGTTTCAAACGCCACCCGTTCCATACTTTTTTTTCATAATGAATCCCTTAATTTTACATGTTATAATAGTTTTGCTTTATTTGAACTCATCTGATCACCACTGACCAAGAATGCATCTATTGTATAAAAAAGGGTACTTGAATCCTTAAATGAGTGTTAAAAAATTAATGTCTGCATTTTTAGCTTAACTTCTTGTTATAGAAATTTATGGTATACCTTGTGTGAAATATTATGTAGTGATAGTATCATCTTATATGAAAATGGTTAAGATGAGTGTGTTTAGCTATTGCTTATCTGAGTCGTTAGTTCCCTAAGGATTATGCTTCCGATCAGATTTCTGGGAAGGGGAATGGAAGGTCTTAAGAATGTAAAATGTGTTAATAATACAAAATTACGTCTGCACAATAAATCTTGCTTTAGAGTTGCGTCATATTTCTTTAAATATCATTCTAATGGCATTCAAATTCCTAGTCATAAAGAAGGGCGAACTAATGAAAACTGCATAAGGCATGACAAATAAATTAAGGCAATTTTTAGCAAAATCACACTGCTGGTTACAATCTTCCATTTGTTTTTTATCCATTAGTCTTTAAACATTACTTTTAAATACATTAAAATTCATATGCACGAGAAAGGAAAAGCAGAAAGAAAACAGATTTGGGCATGGGAAAGCCAATGAGCACAATACCCATTCTCTGTTGCCAAATAATAAGAGAATGTGCAATGATTCAAAAAATCTCTGAGAATATCTAATTTATTCGAAGACTGTTCACCAGTAAAAACAAAGATTGGATAATCAAATTCCACACACTAGAAATGTGAATTTAGGGCTGACTAAGCAATTAAAATTAAAGGTCAGTCTTACTTCTAATAATCTTAACCGTAACCAGGTCATAAGAACATAAGAAAGAAGGAACACTGCAACAGGCCTACTGGCCCATGCGCGGCAGGTCCAAGTCTCCTACCGGCTTAAGCCAATGCCCCAACCTAGTCAGGTCAGGTCACATTCACTTAAGGAAGGAACACGGTAACTGACCTAGTAGCACAAGCTAATCAGGTCCAACTCACACCCACCCACACCCACTCGTGTATTTATCTAACCTATTTTTAAAACTACACAACGTTTTAGCCTCTATAACTGTACTCGGGAGTTTGCTCCACTCATTCACAACTCTATTACCAAACCAGGAGGGATGCAGGTGGCCTTACTGTTATGTACAAGGCCAATATTGTCAAAGTACCACATTTGGATACACCTGTAAATAGTTGATTACTTCTGTAACTTAATTATATACCATTACGTTCGTATCCAGTCCCTGGACCAATTATGTGCCTCTGTAATCTTTTGGCTTTCGCCCACAGGATGTGTCTGGGATGTAATATAAAAAAGCCTGAACACTATATTAGATTCTGAGTCATGTTATAGTTTTTGAGAATTATATACTGGGGTCTCTATTTTTTGTTTCACTTCAAAATGTTGCATTTAAAAAAAGAATTTGGTGCTTTCGACCGGGTGTGGCACCAAGGCCTCTTAGCAAAACTGCAAGCACTGGGAATTGTAGGCTCTACACTATGTCTCCTTAGTGATTACCTTCATGGTAGATCTCTAAGGGTAGTTCTCAGCAAGACATCCTATTGGGGCAAGTGTTCCACAAGAAAGTGTGCTGGGACCATTGTTATGGAATGTCTACTTCAGTGACCTTCTTCATCTCATCCCAGAATCCCAGGCATATGCAGACGACTGTACACTGACATTCACTTATCCAAGAGAAGAAATGCCAGCTGCTCTAAGCTACTTCAATCACCAGCTAAGAGCTATATCAGCTTGGGGAAACAGATGGCAAGTAACATTTGCACCTGAGAAAATGCAAATGATGATGGTCTCTAGGCACCATGACGGTAATGCCAGTGCAGAAGTAAGCATGAATGGGAGGGTGTTGGTACCTGGGGAAGAAGTTGATATCCTTGGGGTGAAATTTGACTCCAAACTGACCATGAAGAGCCATGTTGTAAATCTTGCAAACAAGGCAGCCAGGAAGCTTACAGCACTTCGCCACATCTCGCATCTGCTTGACAGTAGGGGTTGCGAGATTCTGTATGAGGCACAAGTACGCTCACACCTTAAGTATGCTCCACTTTCTTGGTTTGCCTGCCCCATCCCCCATCATCTGCGACTGCTTGACAGAGTAGATAACAGAGCAAGACGTCTCATCTCTCGCCTGGACCCATCCTGGATAGATCTGTCATTTCAGCACAGCCTTCAACACAGGAGGGATGTAGGTGGCCTTACTGTTATGTACAAGGCCAGTATTGTCAAAGTACCACACTTGGATCCACTTCGAGGACAGCGAGAAGCAAGCTTCTATACCACAAGATGGCAGAAAGCAACAACTTCACTCTGGCTGTACCCTTCTCCAGAACATCACTTCACCTGAGATCATTTATTCCCAGGATGACTCGAGTCTGGAACAAATTCGTACATCATTATGATGTCAACGACATAAAGCCAGTTGATCAAATGAAAACGCTGGCCCACAGATGGCTCAAATTCCATCCTGTTCCCTACTTGTATGTTTCATAACAATAAAAATGCTTTCAAATGAGCTGATATAGGTAACAGCTCTTAGCATGTCAATAAAGTTAGGAATCCTTAACCTAACCTTGTCTAACCCTGTGTAAAAAAAAAAATCACAGCTCAGTCCACGATATACAATACTGGTATAGCTGGAATGGTATTTACATCATAAGTTTGATTATAACCAGGGCATAAAAAAGTACAAGTGCTTCTTCACTCCCCAAGGAAATGCAAGATATGATACTGACTAGCTGTGGTTAACAACACATGAGCAAATCACTTAGGACATTTTATTATGGATAAGTTTTGAAACCAACGCACCTTGGAGGATCGTCTCACTGAGGTGATCATTCCTAGAACCATGCCACAACACCTTAATGGTTCTGGACACCCTTTCTCTCCTGCTGTTTAAGTCCACTTCAGGAAGTGTGTTGATGAGGGCACTCTTGAGGTAGAGACATCTCTGTGATGACCCTACCTCAAGATGCTTTCCAACTCTACTCCTTATTTCCTAGTTCTTTTTTATTGATAATGTGCAATAAAACCTGAAAGTCACAGAAGGTTAATCATTTGTGCTCCAACAGCAAACAGAACAAAATGGGCTAGACAGATATTATTAACAATGTGCTGTCCCACACACACTCTGCCTTCGAGACCAAGACCCTTCAGTCTGGGCCTAAAATTCACTAATGATCTCCACAAACAATGCTACTGATGTCATGTCATTACCAATAATCACACTTTTGGCATTTCTGATTTCAAAAAGGTTGTATTCAAGGCATTAGTACTGTTGCTGTTTCTGAACCTTCCGGATCTATCTTACCTAGAAGGTATATACATGTACAAGTTCTCACGACTTGGCCAGCAATGACATCATCACCCCCAACGCAGACAAGAGGCAGTGGTGATCCTTCATCCTTCCACTGTCACAATCCCAAAAAACTAAAAGTCCCATTAATGTTAAAGTCTTTAAGAAATGGTAATAATTTCATATTTTAAAATGGAAGAGAATCACTTTCTTAAGATAAAGCCACCAAAAATTAAAATTTTTATATAAAACTTGTGGAATTATGCAAACATGAATTGGAGGTCTGGAGCATCTTCCACAACTATGGCTTTTCCCACTCTGAGGTCTATTCTATTTTAGGCTAATCCCATTCCTCAAATTGGTTATTTCACTAGTAAGCCTTCCATTCTATTGATTATGTACAAGAAACTGCCCATTCAGTTATCAGAACTACCTTATAAAGTGCCCAGAAGCCGAAATTCGGCCAATTTTACACAAAATTCAACAAAATCCAATTTAAAAAAGTTTAAAATAAAACACTGTAGGTATTCCAGCCCCTAAAGCAACCTTTCCTCTGCTAATTAATCACATCCCCAGTCCTCTCTATTATCACACAAAAAAGTTGAAGTATACCTGGTATACCTGGAGAGGGTTGGCAAAAAATATATAACCAAGAATGATTACTGGTTCAGGGAGTCTCAATAGTTTATTAAAGACCTAGCAATAACCAATAAAACAAATCAGGAGGGCATAGGAGGCTCCCTATTTTTTTCCTCAGGAAAATTACCAAAAATTCAATAGCTCTGCCACTTTGAGATTGGTCTGAAATCGATCAAAATAATTTTCATTTTATATAACAGTCACCAAGAAACAGCCAATAAAATCAGGAAAACCATTCAAGAAAATGCCTCAAAGTTTCCATCATGCACTGGATGGGGCAGAATTTTTTCTTGTACTGCACTTACCTACTGCACAGATCTCTTCTCTCATATCTAGGCCAAAATTAATGCTCACAGCATATATGAGGGCGGTATAATTAAGACATGTATACAAGTGCCACTGGCCTCAAAAATGTATATATAAGAATTTACAGTGAGAAAATACACAGCATGCTAGATGACACCAACACTTATCAACTCCTACCTGAACCACTACTAGATAACACCAAAGAGATCCTGCAAAAAATACGCAAAATCCTACAGAAATTTGAACAAGAAATCCTTACACGTCATCATTGACAGCACAAGTCAACATGTCTATAGAGTCCATCTAAAACTCACAAACCTAACATTCCTTCCTGGGTGTTAGCTGACTGTTGTGGGTCACATCCTTGGGGAGAAAACTGAAGGACCCCAATGGAAATATGAGACACAGACTTTACCAAATTATCCTGGGTTGCTAACTGCCTGGGTTAAAAATCCAAATAAAGTCTTATCTTGTTTTACTTATTTTGGTATAGGCAGTGCCAAATATCCTGGCAGGAATAAACGTATGACTTCAATGTAACATCTCTATTTACTAATGACCCTACTTCAGCCACCATCTACATACTTTGACAAAAGATCACCAATATCACTGACTTTCCTGTGCCCCAAAAGGATTTCACCAATCCGCGTGACCTATCGTGAATTTTAACTACTAGTACATGCACTTCAAATATAAAAAATAGCTGTTACAGTGTTTTGGCATAGCAATGGGCAACCCACTCAGTGCCATGCTAGTCAATATCTATGTTGAGTACCTTAACCTTACAAAAATGTCATATATATAATATATAAAAGAAGCCATAAAATGTGGAGTATCGAATTATGATAAAAAAAAAAAAAGAAGCTTGCTGTGACATAGTCCAAATGAGTCTACCATTAAACTCTGATTTTGGCATAAATATCTGCATAAAAACCAAATGATGTACAACCATTCCCATAAAAAACATTCTTTACTGTCTTAATGAAATTTTATACGCAGATCAGCATGTAATTTACATATACTGTATTCATTTGTTTCTTAACAGTATTGTTAAAATTATAAGTAAGTGAATTAAAATTTTTTACCAGTCTCATAACTTAGACTTAGACAAAAAATGTTTAACTTTAGACACAAACTGTACCTGTACTTCATTTTTTTCCTTAAAATTATCAGATTTACTGTACTATATTTATCTTAACTAAATAGAAATGGTCTGTGGAATTTTTTTTTAACTTTCCCACTTTCACATGTACATTCTCAGAGAATGACCATCACATGACCTAATCTATTTAACTTTAGGTAAAAGAAACCAATCTTCAATACTGCAGATTAGTGCCAGCTCATACCAATTACACAAGTACCGAGTTTGCTCGTACATGACTGATTTTTCTGTCACTGACTACTGTACAAGTCTTACTATAAGGTGCCTCTCACACCTATACAGCTGACCACCAATATTAATGTAATAATATTGGTTATAATATTTAAGACATCACATTTATTTGGCTACCAAATATATGGGAAGGTGAGCTCGTACAAGAGTTAAAACTATTGATGAAAGGTGACAGAGATGGGGAGAGCTATCATCAACCTTCCCGCTAAATAAATCACCTGTGTCCCTTACAATATGAAAGAACTTATTATTTTACATTAAGCCATACTCGTATTATTATTATAATCAAATTAAGCGCTAAACCGCAGTACTCGTAAAACTACAGTACTATTTATCAACTTTGACTAGATTCCTGTAAAATTCATTCATAAAATGTATGCAAAATGATGGATTGATTGTATAAACCATGGCAAGTCTTGCTTCTTAGACTTTGATTTTTATGAAAACTAATACTAAGCAAACATTTTACTACTGTTATTAATGTAACATACAATAACACAACAATAAAGTTCCCAAATTTTTCATCACAGTTAAATACAGTAGTAAATTATTTTCCTATTATTCAAGAAAGAATATATATCTGTGACAAAGATGTTCATACTGTACATGGTATATTTTCAGTTATTTACCCTGATAACGTTTTATATATAAAGTAAAAGGACACAAGTGCAACTAATGTGACATTTTATTGTGGCAACGTTTCGCTCTCCAGGAGCTTTGTCAAGCCGTTGGCAAAGCACTTGTGTCCTTTTACTTTACATATTGTCGGTAATTCTACCAACATTATTACAACGTTTTATATAGTACAGTATTGTGCTAATTTACAAATACAGAAACTCAAGTTGACAATTATACTTTAAAAACACTTCAACTGTCTTTACACATTAAATGTAACTTAAACAGCCGATATAGGAAGTCAGGTTGCCATCTTAATGGGTGATGATTAACCAAATTCTTGTATCTTTCAGAGTTGATTGTAACATTCACTATTTCATTCATTTTCAAAAACTGGATTTTCAACGTAAATCCTAGCTACCTTGTATGATATACAGCCACAACATCAGGCACATAAAACTTCACAACTATAAAATGTTGCTAGATCCACTGAAGTAAACTTAAGGAAATACAAAAAATCCTATCCTATATTCTTAAAAATGACATCACACTTTTATAACACACATCAATCATGACTGGTTATTCAGTTCAATAGGTTTCAAACGTTATTTTGTGTCGTGCAAACGATGCTGTAATATTACCAGCATAATAAATGTTGTTAAAATGACAGCTATATTTTTGTCTGATAACCCATACTGTATGGTCTACTAATTTAGCACATACTTTTTATTGAAAAAGCACAACCGTGTTGACTTAATATAAACTTTAATGTGATGAATCTGTATGTATTGTATGAAAATATGCTGCTATGTACACATGGTTTAAATCCATTTACTGTAGTATTACTGTTCTTAAGAAAGAATATAATTTTGCTTATGACCAAACATATCAGGTATACATTACTACCTGATTTATTATTATTATTATTATTATTATATTATTATTATTATTACTGTTGTATTTATAATGCAAATTGAAAAATCATTGTCTGAAAATGAGATAATTATGCACAAAATTTTGACTTAATACAAATACTGTATACAAAAAATATATAAGGTATTTTTGTAAGCAAAAGATATGATTGCTTTATATTTGCCTGACTAGTAGCCAGAAGTCCCCTACTGTACATATCTTAACACCAGTTTGTGAAGAAAATAAAATACATTAACATATAGCTGAGTTATTAATTTGTTTTTTATTGAGTTAAATAAAAGCTAAAATTCACAGTAAAGTCTCTTATGAAGCTCCTCTCTGTATAGTCTGATTTTTTTGTAAATGCAACTGAATAAGGGCATCCAGAACTGAATAGCATGGGAAAAGAAATTGAGAATGCATGCTTTTCAATAATGGAGTGGGTGCACTATCTCCAATTGCATTTGCAAAATAACCACATAATATCCAATATCTTTACAAGAAACCTTACTGTATGTTCATCTGCAATTTTTAATTGTTGATATACCCTTTATTTTTTAGGCCCAATTTTTTAGTTCTTATGACTAACAAATTTATTTTCTAATTGCAGAATTCTGATTGTTTCTAGCTAGTGTTACTAGAAACACTACAAAATTTATTTGGTAAACCACTGGGTTATTTCATATGTATTCTCTCAGGTATTCACTGCATTAATGTCTTAATTTTAATAGAAATTAAATCTATAAAAGGTTATCTTTGGTCTCCTTGAGTTTAAGTGAGACTATAGCCCCAATCATCAGAACCACGGAAGTAGCCAGCATAGGAATTGCCCGACTGGAGTAGATAAACTGGCCAAAACAGAGTGATCCCAGAACTCCAGCAATGCGAGATGCAGCACTGAGGAACCCATATGCTGTTGTCCTGTCAGAAATAGAGATAATCCAAATTAGTAATAAAATTTATTGCCTTAGAAGAAATGTAGCCCTTAAAAGCTTATAGTAAATGTGTTATGGTACTATCACTCAGTTGTTGTGCTGTCATTCAGGTGTTGCTGCACTGTCACTTAGTTGTACTGTTACTCAGGTATTGCTGTACTGTCACGCAGGTGTCATTTGGGTATTGTTGTATTGTCACTCAGGAGCTGTTATACTGTCACTCAGGTGTTTTTGTGTTGACAGCAGTATAAAACAAAACACAGCAAATTTTTTTCAAAAAATTACACAAAAATGGGTGACTGATTTAATTCATTATGTTTATCCTAGGTAGTAGGTTGGTAAACAGCAACCGCCCAGGGAGGTACTACCGTCCTGCCAAGCGAGTGTACAACGAAAACCTGTAATTGTTTTACATGATGGTAGGATTGCTGGTGTCTTTTGTCTGTCTCATAAACATGCAAGATTTCAGGTATGTCTTGCTACTTCTACTTACACTTAGGTCACACTACACATACATGTACAAGCATATATATACACACCCCTCTGGGTATTCTTCTATTTCCTTTCTAGTTCTTGTTCTTGTTTATTTCCTCTTATCTCCATGGGGAAGTGGAACAGAATTCTTCCTCCGTAAGCCATGCGTATTGTAAGAGGCGACTAAAATGCCGGGGGCAAGGGGCTAGTAACCCCTTCTCCCGTATAAATTACTAAATTTAAAAGAGAAACTTTCGTTTTTCTTTTTGGGCCACCCTGCCTTGGTGGGATACGGCCGGTGTGTTGAAAGAAAGTTTATACAGAGCATATTAAACAGACATAAAAACATAAGAATATAAGAAAGAAGGAACACTGCAACAGGCCTACTGACCCATGTGGAGCAGGTCCATGTCTTCCCCTCTGGATTAGCCCAATGACCCCCCCTCCCGGATAAGCCCAATGACCCACTCAGTCTGGTCACCTTCACTCAAGGAAGGACCACGGCACCAGACCCAGCAGCACAAGCTAGTCAGGTCCAACTCACACCCACCCACACCCACTCATGTATTTATCTAACCTATTTTTAAAACTACACAACGTTTTAGCCTCAATAACTGTACTCGGGAGTTTGTTCCACTCATCCACAACTCTATTACCAAACCAGTGCTTTCCTATATCCTTCCTGAATCTGAATTTTTCCAACTTGAAACCATTGCTGCGAGTTCTGTCTTGGCTGGAAATTTTCAGCACGCTATTTACATCCCTTTATTTATTCCTGTTTTCCATTTATACACCTTGATCATATCCCCCTAATTCTACGCCTTTCGAGAGAGTGCAGATTCAGGGCCCTCAGTCTATCCTCATAGGGAAGATTTCTGATACATGGGATCAACTTTGTACGTTTTCCAGAGCATATATATCCATTCTGTAATACGGTGACCAGAACTGAGCAGCATAGTCTAAATGAGGCCTAACCAAGGATTTACATGGAGTTTACCTGGAGAGAGTTCCGGGGGTCAACGCCCCCGCGGCCCGGTCTGTGACCAGGCCTCCTGGTGGATCAGAGCCTGATCAACCAGGCTGTTACTGCTGGCTGCACGCAAACCAACGTACGAGCCACAGCCCGGCTGGTCAGGAACCGACTTTAGGTGCTTGTCCAGTGCCAGCTTGAAGACTGCCAGGGGTCTGTTGGTAATCCCCCTTATGTATGCTGGGAGGCAGTTGAACAGCCTCGGGCCCCTGACACTTATTGTATGGTCTCTTAACGTGCTAGTGACACCCCTGATTTTCATTGGGGGGATGTTGCATCTTCTGCCAAGTCTTTTGCTTTCGTAGTGAGTGATTTTCATGTGCAAGTTCGGTACTAGTCCCTCTAGGATTTTCCAGGTGTACTTAATCATGTATCTCTCCTGCCTGCGTTCCAGGGAATACAGGTTTAGGAACCTCAAGCGCTCCCAGTAATTGAGGTGTTTTATCTCCGTTATGCGCGCCGTGAAGGCTCTCTGTACATTTTCTAGGTCAGCTATTTCACCTGCCTTGAAGCCAAGAATTCTGTTAGCTTTATTGCGAACACTAATGCACTCTTCTCTTGGTTTTAGATTACTGCTAACCAGAACTCCTAAATCCTTTTCACAATCAGTAGTATTAAGATCTACATTATTTAGTTTATATGTGGCATGGTTCTTTACCTGTCCAACATTTAGAACTTTGCATTTGTCAATATTAAACTGCATCTGCCACTTCTCCGACCATTGCATCAGTTTATTAAAATCATCCTGGAGTGCTCTAGTGTCCTCATTAGAATGAATTGGACGGCCTATTTTGGTGTCATCAGCAATTTGCTTATGTCGCTATTTATTCCCTCATCTATGTCGTTTATGTAAATTGTGAACAACAACGAGCACAACACTGACCCCTGACGAACACTGCTTGTGACGTGCCCCCATTTTTATTTCTCCCCATTTATTTCAAACTCTCTGCTGCCTATTTGTCAGCCTTTCCTCTACCAGGAAAAAAATTCTCCTATTCCGTGTGCCTTAAGTTTCCTCAATAGCCTCTGATGTGGAACTCTATCGAAAGCCTTACTGAAGTCCATATACACAATATCATATTCATTACCATGATCTACCTCCTCAAACACCTTAGTGAAAAAGTTAATAAATTCATAAGACAGGAACGCCCCTTTGTAAAACCGTGTTGAGATTCATTAATCAATCTGTGCCTATCAAGATGGTTACGAATTGCTTCGGCAATTATTGATTCCATAAATTTTCCCATTATGGAGGTAAGGCTTATTGGTCTATAGTTCGAAGCCAAGGACCTGTCACCTGCCTTGTAAATAGGTATTACATTTGCCATTTTCCACTTATCAGGCACTATGCCAGTTTGTAGTGATATGTTAAAATGATTAGCCAAGGTATGCTAAGTTCCTCTTTACATTCCTTTAACACCCTTGTAAACAGTTCATCAGGACCTGGGGGTTTGTTAGGTTTTAGTTTCTCTATTTGTCTGAGGACCATGTCACTAGTTACTGCAATCGTGCATAGTTTATTATCATCCTGCTCTACATAATCTATTATTTCAGGAATATTGCTAGTATTTTCCTGGATGAAAACTGAGAGGAAGTAGGTATTGAGAATTTCACACATATCCTTATCACTGTCAGTGATCTGACCAGAGTCACTCTTAAGTGGGCCAATCTGTCCCTAATCTTATTTCTGTATACCTGAAAGAACCCTTTTGGGTTAGTCTTTGAATCCCTTGCGACCTTAGCCTCATAATCCCTTTTTGCTTTTCTTATTCCTTTCTTTATTTCTCTCTTTAATTGAATATATTGATTTCTTAACTGCCCATCCCCTCTTTTGATATGCCTATATATGCCTCTCTTTTGACCAATGAGATGTTTTAATCTATTGTTCATCCATTTGGGATCATTTTTGTTAGATCTAATTTCCCTACTCGGAACAAAATTTGTCTGGGCAGCTAGAACTATGCTCTGAAAAACGTCATATTGACAACCAAGATCACCTACCTGACCCATAGTCAGGACATCCCAATTTAGCCCACCCAGGTAATTTTTCAGTCCCATGAAGTTGGCCAAGCAAAAATCTGGGACAGAGATTTGATTGCAGTTATCTGGGCAATTCCATGATATATTGAAACTAAGTGATTTGTGATCAATTTCCCCAAGCTCATCATTAACCTCAAGATTATTAATTAGTGAATCTTTGTTGGCAAGAACCAAGTCAAGCAGATTATTTCCTCTAGTTGGTTCTGTCACAACCTGTTCTAAAAAGCAATCCTGAACCGTATCAAGAAAGTCACTAGACTCAAGATTTCCTGTCATATTATTCCAATTAATTTGTCTAAAGCTAAAATCTCCCATTATCACAACATTTTCATATCTAGATGCCTTATGAATTTCGTCCCATAACAGCTTACTGCACTCCCTATCAAGGTTTGGGGGGCCTATAAATCACACCCAAAATTAATTTGTCACATCCCTCGAGAAACTGTAGCCAAACAGATTCTGTGTTCGATGTTTCTAATCTTATATCATGTCTAAGACAACAATTTAAATTTTCTCTGACATACATCGCCACTCCACCACCCTTCCTGTTGACCCTATCAGTGTGGAATAGTTTATAACCCTGTATGTTGCATTCAGAAGGCATTTCTCTATCTTTCAGGTTGAACCAGGTCTCTGTTATACCAATAATATCTATATTACCTACACTTGCAAGTAATCTTAGCTCATCTATCTTATTTCTTAGACTCCTACTATTTGTATAGTAAACCTTAAGGGAGCTAGTCACTCGTTGCCCTCTACTATCTCTCTTTGTTTGCTAATCAATTGATTTGCCATTACTAGCAACTTTATTTTGAATATTGTCTTTTAAACATATCCCTGAGAAACCATACCCCGGCTGGGATTGAACCCGCGGTCAGAGAGTCTCAAAACTCCAGCCCGTCGCGTTAGCCACTAGACCAGCTAGCCACAATAAGATTCGTCCAACTACGATTTCGTGAGTCATATCCCTGAGGTATCCCGGTAATTACTTTTTTTAACCCTAATGCTGCAGCCTGATTGTTTCCCACAAACACCCATATCTCTATAATCTATCAGTTTAAATTCCTAGACAAGTCATCAATTACCCTCTCAATTGAATTGGCTAATGCAACCACTCCACTCCCAGAGAGATGAACCCCATCCCTTGCATACATATCACGTTTGCCAAAGAACAGGTCCCAGTTATCAATGAATGGGATTGCAAGTTCCTTGCAGTACCTGTCTAGCCAGCAGTTTATACCAGTTGCCCTAGTCATCCATTCATTGCCCACTCTACCTTAGACCTAACTACTTCTATGGCTGACCTGTACTTATCCAGCAGCTCCTCTCTCCTGCCCTTCCCAATGTCATTATCACCAGCACTAAGACAGATAATGGGCTTGTTCCCATTACCTGCCATAATATTATCCAACCTGCTGACTATGTCACCAACACCAGCTCCA